CCCCTTCAGGTACTGGGAGGTGCTGCAATAAGGTCTGTAAGGTATTTCATATATTTGGATTAGGCACAAGTGACCTTACTTCTTTCTCAAATGATAAAGCTAAAGCTCTGAGAAGCAAAACCTTAGATATTCAACTGTCATAGAATTTTAGTTGTTGGGATAAAAAAAAAAATTAGTGGTTTATTACCAGAGTATTTCATCCTACAATTTTTATTTGTGGTGTTTGTTCTTGTGGTTGACAGTTTGCTCTTGGTAGCTGGGGGAACAGTTCTAAAAATCTGCGATTTTGGTACAGCCTGTGATATTCAGACACACATGACCAACAATAAGGGAAGTGCTGCTTGGATGGCACCTGAAGTTTTTGAAGGTAACGCTAATTCACAGTGCTAATAGTGCATGTTCTTTCTAGGGATGCAGCTGCAAATGAATTTGGTATAGGAAATGAGTTTCATGAAATGTTCGTTTATTTCAATCAGTGTATTAAGTTTGCAGTAACAGCTGAAAGAGTCTTGGCAGAATTATAACATGTATTTTAAAATCTGTATGACTGGATATTGCCAAATAATTATGCAGAGTTTCAGAGAGTAGCACTGAACTGTCATGTTAGCTTTAGATGGTTAATCACGTGATGATGTGGAACCTTCATTTGTGTCATTGCTGAGATTTACATAAGGAGTACCTTTAGACAACTGCTGTTTCTTATAAGTGTGCCACAGCCAGAGGACTATTTCCCAAGGATTGTGCTGTTTCCGAGATTCTTAAGTCATTTCAAACTCTTCTGACATTTAAATACACTGTCATTACTTTCACTCCCTATTCTGATCAGCTTTTATCTTTAGAATTTTTCTGTTAGTGTCTCTAAATTGAACATAATTGCCTTCATTTTCAATTCCCCATCTACATCTGCTTTTTGTGTAATCTAGAGATTTTATGTGCTTCCTTTTTCCGACATACTGAGGAACTTGTTACTCAGTTATTTTAGTTAAGTAGGAAAACAAGCTATTTCTTGGAGTGTAGCTGAGGAAGACTGATGACACTTGATAATTAGATAGGTATAATTGCTGCATGATTATCAGAGAAATAATCCAGTCAGTATCAGATTGCAAATCAAACAACTTACAGCCAGTCAGTACCTTAAATTATCATGGCGATTAGCAGAGTGGTCTGGGGAAGTCACCTTCCTGTTTAGGAAGAAGGTGTCTTGTTTTTGATACATTTGGCAGTGGTTTCCCAGATTCTGGAGCCAGGTGGCCTCTTTTCTTTTACTATCCTTATTCTGTAGAGGAGCAGCAGATGAATTATGTCTATATATGTTTTTAGGAGGTGTTTCTTCCTGAACACCACCTTTTGAAGCTTTTGTTTTGAAGGTACCTTTTTTCTCCCACGTACTGCTTAGAGGGTGATCTGTTTCATTCTGGTGCCTAGAAATTTTCCACTATGTCACTTTATATTGAGGCACCTACTCTACTTGTTTAGCTAGGAATGCTTCTTTTCTTAACATTTGTTTACTATTAAAGGAAATTGTATAAGTAAGAGGTTAAATTTTTCTTTTAGAAATAATCAGTTGGACAATCTGTGTTAAAGCTACATTATTTTTGTAGTGAAAAATCTTAATAGAAACCAGGTTTTGAAATAAGTATATTGTAGTAGGGGTTTACAGTGCGTGTCCTAATTCTCAGGTGTATGGATTCAGCAAGGCAGAACAAAGAAATGTTGTATTGCAAATTTCTTGTTGGACAGCAGCAAAAGCCTTCAGTTCACAGCTGGTTTTATGGACTTTTATCTGAAAGCACTTACTGGTAATGACACATGTCATACAAGAACATATATCAAGGAAATAAAGGAATCTAGTAGCTTCTATGACGCAGCATATGAAATTACTCTTTAAACAGTCATTAAACTACTAAAATGGTGACGATAAAAATTGGTTTGCTTATGTTCCTGCAGCAGAATTCAACAATGGAATAAATGCTAATATTATTTCAGTACCTTTTTATTACTCATGGTTTTAGATGAGAACAATAAAGGCACAAGAACTATCTGTTGTAGATGGCAGAGTACTTACTGAAGTAATTGCCCTAATACTAAAATTTTTCCCCCATTTTAAGCGTTAGGGCACCTAAAGCCTTGTACAGATCAAACAATCTGAAGGAAAGTAATTTCACTTAGATCAGCATAAAGTGAAAGTGAGTAAGTGCTCTAATCTCAGAACTGTCTTTAGGAGAAACTGGTTTAAAACAGCTTTGGGATAATGGGAAGAATTGAGGAATGATTGTGTCTACCTGTTATCCTAGCTTGGTCTGTTACCAGGGTGAAATGATACAGAATATTTTCTCACTTCTTTTGGACACTCAATTTTCAGAATTACTCCAGGACTTCTCAGTCATAAAATAGAATTTCCTTGCTCAAACAGAACACTGCTTCCCCCTCATAGGCTGTGTGCCACAGAAGGGCTGTGGCTGCATAGATGAGAGAGACTGGTTTGCTTCCTTTACCAACCTGCCATTGTTAACAGATAACCTTTTCTCAGCACCCTTGAAAATAAGATGAGTGATAAAGCTGACTGTTACTCCCCTTCCGTAACTTTTGAATTCGTTAGCTGTACAGAGTTTTGGAGATGCCAAGTTCTTAAAGGGTTTTGTAAAATCAGTACCTTTGAGAAGCTCAAATTAGTCCCTTCACTCAGAGATTACTTGCAGTTCGTGCTGCAGCCCGTCTGTCCTGTTTGGCTTGCAGACTGGCTGGTGTGCACGAACTGGCCTGCGAACACATTGCTTTCCTTGCACAGTTTGTCAGAGCTGTGGGGCAGAAGAAGACGGCTCATAGGTAGTGGAGCCTGTTGCAACTGGATGTTACACGATGGGTTTCCACATGGAACTTCTTGAATTCCACTGCTTATGAAATTATTTGTTTCAGTGATGCTTTCCACTTGCCTGTTAAAAAAACATCCCTTGGCCACTTGATGCCAGTTTTGATCCTTGTTTGAAGACAGATGAGCAAATCTCTATCGTTTATATTCACGTGTTTATTGTCATGTCATTAGCCATTCACATTTCTCTGTAGTATTTGCAGGAGTTGACGGTTACAGAGCATACATTCTTTATTTGCAGCCTGATTTTTACTCATTATTCTTTATTGCCTACTTGCCTTCTGCGCCTTTAATGGGAGCCTTAGAAACATTGCACTTATGGTCAAAGAACTTCGAGCAATGACATGAGTAAGAATAATAAGCAGGGAGAAAATAAGATGGTGAGGAATTGAGGAATCTGCTGATTTGTTCATATGATAACTTAGTAGTTCTGCTAAGGACCTGTAATCAATAAAGAGCAATGGATATGACAGATATTATTGGCTGGCATATTGTAACTAATGTGGAAGAAATGAGTTGAAGAAGAATATTTAGAGGAAACAGTCAAATTGTGGATGCACGAGATCTTTGAAACTTAATAAATTGTGCTTTATATTATATAAGAAAACTGATGCATTTTACATTTCAGGATGACACCAAGCGAACAGGAGAACATCTTAGTATGTCATACTCTCAAATGATTTTAAGGCTTAAGTTAGCATGAATCAGCCAGCTTTAGAAAACTGTTTTTCTCAACAAAACAAATGTGAAGTGAAAGGAAGCATGTAGAGCTATTTATCAGCTCAAACTGTATTTCTTTTTAATGTGTTATATAGAAAAGAGACAAATTGTATTGCTGGCTTTCTTCCAGGTAGCAATTACAGTGAAAAATGTGACGTTTTCAGCTGGGGTATTATTCTCTGGGAGGTAATCACCCGTAGGAAACCTTTCGATGAGATCGGTGGTCCCGCTTTCCGCATAATGTGGGCAGTTCACAATGGTGAGTTGAAAGTACTTTATTCCATTTGACGTTGTGTATTTGACCTATAAAGTTGCTAAACACTCTTAACTGTAGCTTTAAATTGCCAGTTTTTCCAGTTTTTACTTCATTAAATACGCATTTTTGTCGTAAAGACCAAGGAGTAAGACACTGCCACTTTTTTGTTAGTGTGTGGATTTTGTTATTTGGCTGCTGCAGTCCTTGCGTTTCCTGCTACATGTAACTAGTATATGAACAAACAAGGGAAAAAAGCTGTTTTTTTGTTACAGCACCCCATTTTGAAAGTGATCTTAATTGTGTGGTACAAAAACCACCCACATCCTCTCTGTCGGGGCGAATGACAGTTTTATTAGCCAAGTTGTAGGTACCTGCAGTCATGGAGCAGTACTCTACTGTGCTAGGTGCTGTATAGAGCAGGTTCTCAGGAGCTTGGAATATAATCAGTAAACAGTGGTTGAATTCAGATAGGTAAAAGAAAACAGTGGTACAGTGTTGCTCAGAATAATAGACTGTAGTGTCTTCATGCTGGGGGTATAACTTTTTCAACATGTGTCAAAGCTTCGATACTAAATGATAGAAGCTTAAGGTGAGCCCGGGGGTCCGGTTTGGTGAAGAGGACAAAGGGGCAGACAGTCACAGGATGGATGAGCATTGTAGTCATAATAATGCACAAAGATATATGTTTGCAAGTGGTGTCTTTGAATGAAGAAAGAGATTCTCCAGTTTTTCAAGGACACAAGCCATTCAGACTGGGAGCGATGAGTGCCTTGCGTAAAAGCATTAACCGTGAAAGTAAGCGTAAATGGAATCGGCATAAATCAGAGGCCTGGGTAAGGTGTGGGAGTGTCCTTTAGGGGAAGGCAAATTGTCTGTCGCTGCTTTTGCTTTAAAAACTTGTTTCTCATGTTTTTTCTATTTCTTTTTTTTTTTTTTTTTCCTTTTTTCTGGCCTTCAACCCCCTTCTTTTCCTTCTTAGGAAGGAAGTGTGCATCTACTTCATCTTACTTGAAACCGCTGTGGCACTCCTCATTCATGTACTACTTATGATGGTTAATACATTTTTAAATACTTGCTGCTTTCTATGCAAAATATCACTACGTCTCATGTACTAAACACAACTGGATGTTCATTAATTGTATTTGTTGATAGTAAAAAGAATAGAAACTTGAACCAAAAAGCAGCTGAGTAGTTATGCAACAGTTTAAGTAAAATACGCAATTAAAAATGTGCATAGGCTGTGAAAAACTTACTTTAAATTGATACTTCCAGTACTTAATAACTTTTCAGGAATGTTCTTAAGAGCAAAGTCATCCCTCAAAAATACTTTTTTTTTTTTTCTCTCTCTCCCCCTTGAGAGCACAGCATTAAGAACCAATGACTGTTACTACTTGCTTCCTAGTTTGGACTAGAGCTTTATTCTTCAAAAAGTGGTAACGTATTTGTTAGCCGTTGTAATACGTTTTAATTTATTTAGACCACTACTGACAGAAAGGTTTTTTCTTCTTTCTACTTGTTTGTATGTACTTGTAACTTGTATGTAGTGCAAAGGAATTTTTTTTTTTTTTGTTCAGTCCTTTTTTTGTAAGAGAAAAAAATTAAGTACAGGCCAGTTCTTTCAGACTACAATTAACTATATGCTTTCCTGTATTTATTTAGCAAAATACTGGAGAGAGGTCAGTCGCCTAATAGTCTGCTTAACAAATTAAGGGTTTTTTCTAATTTCTATTATAGGTACTCGGCCACCACTAATCAAAAATTTACCTAAACCAATTGAGAGTTTAATGACCCGTTGCTGGTCCAAGGATCCCTCACAACGACCATCCATGGAGGAAATTGTTAAAATAATGACACACTTGATGCGGGTATAAAAGTTTACTTTAGTCTCTTAATTATTTTTAATCTATTAAATTGGGAAATTCAATTATAAAAGGTATGCCTTTTGTCACACTCTAAGAGCGAGCTTGCATGTTTTCTATCTCCTCCTTTTGATTTTTGTCAAGTTATTACAGTAGAGAAGGGAAATAATTCCTCTCCTTACGGGAGGGGCACAACAACTCTTAACAGATTGGGGAAAATCCATAGAAATAGTCATAGATATATTTTAAAATATCACTAAAAATAATTGCATGTACTTCTCTTCTAAATAAATTATTATAAACATATTTATAAATTATGAGGTACTATTAAATAATGTTAAAACAATCGTTAATTACTTTTTTATTAAATTATTGCTGCTTTTTTCACAGTACTTTCCAGGAGCTGATGAACCTCTGCAGTATCCTTGCCAGTACTCAGATGAAGGCCAAAGCAACTCTGCCACTAGTACAGGTACACTGTAGAGAAAAGACCAGCAACATGAAATGATGCAGAGGGATTATGAACTACATTCTTACATTGATTTTGATCTCAAATTAGGAAAGGTTACCTGTCCAAAATCTTAGACACTTCCTAGAGTCTATTTTTTTTGTTAAGACCTCATACCACGTCATTAGTGTTCTCAGCCAAATGGTTTTGCCGAAGTATACCTTTAATGTAGAAAAAGCCTATGATAAAAGGTGTCTCAGAATGTCCACGTTTAGGGTCTCTTTTTTTTTTTTTTCCCTTGAAGTTTCTTTCAGTCATATGTAATGTTTAGAATCTGGCATTTTTAGATTTTTGACTGCTTTTGAAAGGTGCACGTGCTTTCAGTTATGATCTCCACAACTAAACTTGCAGTTGTTTTATGTTAGGATGCACTAAGTCAAGAAATTTATCTTAAGTGCAAGAAAATCACTAGGAAGGTAAGTAGAGCAAAATGGGGCTAGGCTTTCGGGTAGTCTTGCCCTCAGAAAAATCATTTTAATAACAGAAAACAGTGATTGCTTGGTCTTCTCATTTTTTATAGTACAGTTTTCCCCCTTCTGTTGTTTTTTATCTTGGGTGTTTTTATCTTCCACTGCTCGGTTGATTTGTTTTCTCTCTCCAAACAAATTGCTGTTATTTTGGATAAAGCTTCCCCAGCTACTTCGCAACTTAGTGACGTTAGTGTGAATTATATTAAAACATCTTTTCAGCTGTAGCATTGTACAAGCGGTTCTCCACCCCTCAGCACATGATTTTAAGACATGGTTTATCACCTTAAACTGGATGTATCTTGTCTTATTTTTTCAGGGGTTTGTGCTCCTTTGTGGTTAATGGTGGTCTTTCTCATTAATTGTGAATGAGGTTGCTGGTTGTGTTGTTAATATAACATCTACCCCAACAATTTTATAGCACGCTAAAGACAAAATGTCATCTTAGTCCTTGTATGCTGTCTCTTCACTCCTTTTACTTCTTACATTTATGGATCTGTTAGAATCTCACAGCTTGCCTTTCATTAAAACTTTTCAAAAAAGTTGCTTTAAAGCCAAATGAGGCTTATGACAATGCTTAGGTGAAGAGATGCACTTTAGTATTTTTAATGTGAATTCCCAAATATTTATCTTTGTTATTGATTTCTAGGTTCATTCATGGACATCACTTCTACAAACACAAGTAACAAGAGTGATGCTAACATGGAACCCAGTGACTTCCAAGGAGCTTCTACCAATGACACTATTAAACGTTTAGAGTCAAAATTGGCGCAGCAAATGAAGAATACAGCCAAGCAGCCGGTAAGCCAGTGGGTGCAATTTTGAACCATAATGAAATGGACAAAAGTGTTGTAATTGCTACAAAACGTTAGTGTTTTCTTTCAAAAATAGTACAGGATAGAAGGCAGTTAGTTACAGGAAAGGATCATGAAAAGGGATGGAAAAATATTGGATGATTCCAAAAAGGTAAACTGGAAGGAAGGCTGTAGTAATGAAATATCAAAAATAATTCATTTTACTTAAAGGAATTCATTAGGTTCAAAAAGAACTTGTATTTGTAAATCACTGCCTTAACTTAGAACCCAAATATTAGTATGACATGAAGGGATTAAGCATTTATGTGAATTTTGGAAATACTATGTTTTATTTCAAGTAGGATGAAATAATACCAAGATTCTCTTGTGGCAATAGTGGCCTAATTCTACTCAATTTTTATTTGTGTAAAGTTAGATTCTTTTGACAGTTGCAGGTGTTTGGTTCCTGTGTGCCAATAACAGCTAAATTATTACCAGTTTTTTAGGATATAAATTTAAAATCCTCTCACTTTTAAAATGCACATTATAGAAATACATTTTAACCTACATGCTGAGCATATCATGGAGGGTCTTCTGCAGAAATTTTTTTTATTCTTAAAACTGTGACTGTTGTAACAGGGTGATCCTGGCCGCTTGAGTTTACCCCCATCTCGTGGGAGCAGTGTGGAGAGCTTGTCAGACGTTCGCGCGCGACCACAGTCAGCCCTTGTTTCAGGAGAAGCCAAAAGGATGAGTGCTGACATGTCTGAAATAGAAGCAAGAATAGCTTCCATCACAGGTAAAATTAAAGGATGTTTGGGGGATAGACTGAGGAACTGGAAGGAAGGAAAAGATGAAGGAAGAAGTAAAATATGCATAATCTTACAGAAGGTTTATGCCGTTAACTGTAGGAAAAGACTTTAACTTTTCATGTAGTCTTCATTACCCTTTATTAATTGTGGGGGGAAATGGCTTTGTTCACAGTTGCACGCTCAACGAGGTTGAGTATTTTAATTGGGTACTTCTAAGGTTGCAGAATAAATTACTTCCGTTGAATCAGAGTTTTACTTCCCTAGAAAATCATTGAGACTTCTATGCCAAATGCCTAACTTCATCCTTTACATCTGAAATAGTGTTACTCCGTCTCTGCTAGCATAATTATTTCTAAAATAACATTTCCCTCAAGGTTATTCCTATCATATTGTGAAATTAAGAGATGGGTTTAAAGTTCAGCATGTTCCCAAATAAGTCTTTGATAGATTTCAGAACGAGAAATGTAGTTAATTTTATACATCAGATAAACAGGGCATTGGGTTTAAAAAAAAAAAAAGGCTCCAGGAGTTTTGCCAGTTTGCTTCAGGTAGCTCCAAACTGTTGTGTCTAAACACTGAATTCTTGAGTGAATTTGAATTTATGTGTAAGTATCAGTACATAATTTTATGATGAAAGCAGTCTTCATTCTTCTCAGAAAAGCAAATTAATAAAAGTGTGTATACTTGGCAAACACTTTCTTGTCTCTTTTGTTCATCAAAGATGCTGTTTGTTAATCTGTGCAAACTTTAGCTTTTAAGTTTCATATGTGAAACTTTGTTTTGTTATGGTGTGTAACCACAGATTTAAATAATCAGACAAAATTACTTTGATTAGTCCAGGGTTATTTAGCTGTTACAGTATTTTTCTACCAATCTGAAAATTAGGGTAATCATGTAACTGTAGTTAATAAGGGAATATGTGTCCTATTATGGCTTTCTTGTGCACCATGACTACTTCATTTTTGTTCTTCATTGTTTTATGATTATTCCAGGATCTTGTTTTACTAAATACTGAAGATACTAGTGAAATAATACTCATCTTGCCCTAAACGTTTTTGGTTTTCTTTGGGTTTTTTTACTTTTATGTTCTTATTTAAAAGTCTTATTCCCAGACTTGTCTTTTGTATTGTCAGTCTTTGACTGGATCATTGTGTAGCACATCTCACCCCGAGTATCTCTAAAGGTTTCCTAACACAGAAGGCAGCTGTATACTTACCTGATAATAACAACATGCTGGGTTTATTTTAAACTATGTCAGGACTCACTTTGGTCACTGACACTCTGAAGCCCATGTAAGTTTCTGACATTAGTGGAGATAACTCTGGCCATTCTTTGTGTGAGTTTTTAATTTTCCTGGTTTGTCTTCCTTAAGTATATTGCTTTGAACAATGATTATTATTTCAGATTATTCTAAGGAGGGTGGTGGTTTTTTTTATTTTGGTTTTGTTACGACTGTAGGGTTTCTTTTTTCTTCAAACAAAACTATATATTGAAGATAGTAGTTATTTTTTCAAGAAATCACTTCAGGCAGTAGTGGACTAATAGAAATGAGGTCAAACCCGTCTGACCATAACTTTTTAAAAAAAGAGCTGAAATAGCACTGTGTTGGTTTTGCTTTGGTTTTTGTTTTATTTTGGTGTGTGGGGTTTGTTTGGTTTTTTTTTTTTCTTGTTAACTGTGTGGCAGAAATAATACGCTGTGAACTTGAAAGAAAAAGTGTGACTGAGTGAAAATTGGGCTGTTAAGAGTAAATCAGGTCAAGAATTATTTAATCTTCTTGTTCCATCTATTGCTAGAATAAGAGCAAATCACCTAATGCACATCACCATTACTTATGAAGTTTGAGATGGATATTGCTATAGTGTTCTACCTTTGGGAGATGTATTTAGACTTTTCTTTAAATACAAACCACTTACCTCGACCTACACAAGTAGTAAAATAAAAGATGTCTGATTAGGTTTTATTCCAAAGGATATAATGTTTCTTGAACATCATTCAAAAATTAAAAGGTTGGCAGTTTGCAAAACAAAAAATCGTCACTGATAGGACAAAAGACTGGAAGGCAGGAGTGATTGTCTAATGTAGGAAGATGCCCTAGCTGAACCTGCCTTGGCAGGGGCGTTGGACTAGGTGATCTCCAGAGGTCCCTTCCAACCCTGACCATTCTGTGATTCTGTAAGCATATTTTTTTCAGAGACAGATGAGATAAATAGCCTTCAAAAGTAGGTGATTTAAAGAAATAAAAGTACCCAACTATTAATTTTGCTCATAAAATAGCTTGTACCCAACACTAAAGAGAATTTTATACAAGTTCAGGTGACCAGTAATTTATTCTGAATGTACAGCTGATCTGAAAAAATTTAATTTGCTCTCTGAATAATTACATTTGGTTTTCCCTTCCTTGTTGCCATGCTGCTTTCTGTGTTTGACTTTTGTGTTGCTAACTATAACTAATTACACGGTGTTGTAATGACAGCTAGTTCTGCATTGTTTGCTTTTTAACAGTTGCTTTACTCTGTGTAAGCATGAGTGGAAGGCAATGCAGTTTATTCTGCATGACACATTTTTGCATGAACTGTAGTTAACCAAGTTTATGAAAAATGCAATATTAGGATTTTAATAATTTTGCTATTGCCATTTTAGTGTTTTGCATGTGTATTGTATATGTGTATTTTTTCAGCCTATTCCAAGCCTAAACGAGGCCATCGTAAAACTGCTTCATTTGGCAACATTCTGGATGTCCCTGAGATCATCATACCAGGTATCGCAGCCCAGGTGAACGGGTCAATTGGTTAAGATGCCGGAATAATGATCAGACTGCTAAAAATACTTCTTGCTCCAGTGGCTGTAAGACAGAAGTAGAAGTCATCCTAATAATTTTTTTCGTGATATTTCTGATCATGTAAAGAGGAGCATGATATTTCAGTACAAACTCATCTTTATCAGTACAGGATTTGATCATCTAGGTCAAATTTACTTTTCCTGAGAGAGGATTCGCTCCGCCCCCCCCTTTATGATCTTGATGTTGAGTCATCTTATAGAGCAAAACTGTATAGGCAGTCTTAATTACAGTACCTTATTTGGTGAAAATGAACTTAAGTTGAAAAATACCTGTCTAGGTGTAATTATCTTGCCCTGGCCTTTGTTGTGTTTGAGCACCCATTTTTAATCTAATCAAATATTGCTAGAACAGAATACTTAAATGCCTTATGTACAGAACTTCAAATCCATATGATACTTGTGATTAAAAAAAAAATAACGCTTAATCTATGTAATTCTTATATTTGACTACACTTTGCTAGAGCTAAAATGTGTCTGCATGAGTTACTTCTGTTGTGTTTAATTTAATGCAAACTAAAACTACTGGGAGTCTTCTTACAGGAAGAAAAGCAGTATAATCAGGCACCATAGCTGAGTTGACTTGAACAAGTGATTCTCATCTATCCAAAGTCTGCATTTAGTTACCATCATATCTTTTTATTTTCCCATTCCTTTTTCTTTTTTTTTGCATTCGAAGTGGATTTCTCTTTTTCATTACATATGGCTCAAAGCCTAAAAATAAGTATAATCAGTGCCAAACTCTGATAGGTACACTATTTGCAGCATGCAAGTCACTTCAAAATGATTTGTCAGAGGCAGGAGATGCAAGTAATAGTATCTACTGCTAATCCAGAGAGCTGTTAAAAACTGTGGACCCCCTATGCTAAATTTGTGTCGTCTGAGGAAGTTGCCTTGTAAATCCTGAGATTGTTTGGTATTTTAAAGTTGAATGCAAAAAATAGTTCTGTACAAAGCTTTCATTCAAATAACTTTATTGAAGTTTACATGCAAAAATAGAGGGTCAGCGTCAAACAGTAGATTCCAAACAGCAGATTCCAAACAGCAGCACTGTCCATGGAAAGAAAACCTATTCGGCATCGAGACTAACAAATCAGCAAAAAGATTTGCTTAGAGTGGCTTTTCACTGCAATTGTCACATGGTCCTGGCCTGCCATGATAGAAAGGAACTGTGGAGACAGCAAGGAGAGAGAAAGCGATCTGTCAAATTTTGCAGAATCAGCACATGTTGGGAGCCTGATAAATAAGCTCCTGAAGCTCACTGGGTAGCTCTTTTCTGTGCAGACCACATGAGGCTTCCAAGAAACCTTAAAACTTCTAGAGAATAATTAAAAAGGCAGTTATGCAAAATGTCATATTGTTTTCCCAAAATAGTTCACATCATTCTGCTGAGTTTACTTATTTAGGCAAAGGAAGTCAGATTTTCTTTACCTGGGCTGTTTTAATTGTATTTAACAGGATGAGAATTCTAAGGTGAATCTGGAATGGGTGCAGGAGAAGTAACAACTTGTAGTAATGACCAAAGATATAGGGTTGGAGCAAGCATATGAATTAATTTTTTCAAAGATTACTCTTAGGGTATTCAAGTCTTAAATGATGGATTATGACATTCACTGTTAATGCTTTATCACAAGCAGCTATTAATAAAGAGGAGGGTTAGACTCTCACATCAGGCAAGTTACATTGTGACTGGGGGTAAAAAGATAGAAATAGGGTAAAACCAGGGTCATATGCTAGCCACAATTTCTTTTAATAAGATGAGAGGTCATTAGTGGAAATGACTGTAAAGGACCATAGCAGATGCAGGCAGAGTAATGCCCAGTAGTATAAGCCACTAATGTGAGGCAGTTGTGAAAAACTGTGTGAAATCTTAGGGGTCATTTCCAAAGGTGTATTTCCAGGCAAGAGAAGAAAGCACTAATGCTATTTTACAGGCCCTTGCTCAGGAATTCAACATACTATTCTGGGCAGCTGTATAAAAGAAATACACGTGCAGTCCAAGTAGCAAGGAGAGCTACTAGGATGGTATGGAGAGTGTAAAGAAGAATCTGAAAGCATGGGGGTTTTTAGCCCACACAATGAAAGCTGAGAAATTAATAATTTTTTTTTATAGATTTATCTGCAGCTAAAGGCTGGGAAGAGAGAACTACTTTAGCTAAAAGACAGTATTGGCACTATGGAAAAAAATGTGTAAATTGTCTGCAAGTAAGTCTGGGCTGCATATTAAGTTTTCTGGTTGTCGGAACAGCTTTCCTGTAACAATCACAGGGCCAGAAATGAGATTAATCATTATGTGACAGGGATGTGATCATCTGCCCAGTAAACCAATTATATTTATCTGTATAACACTTAAAGCAGTTATTCAAAAGTACTTTGCCCAGTTATTCTTTTAAAGACAATACAACATAGGCTATTTCTCACCTTTTTCCTTTCCTTACTGTCCCAGCACAAGGCTTTCAGTCCCAGCCTCTTAATACACTTTTCCCCTTCTAGTTATACTTCCAAGATCTCCAAATTGACACCTCCATCTCGATCCCATGCCATCACGTTGCTTAGCACTTCTGCCACATACCCAGTTCCTCCAAACTTCCCTGGGCACGTCCGTCCATGGGATGTGCAGCCCGTCTCTGTCCTAAGGGCAGCCGGAGTGCCGCCCCAGCCTGTGCTGCTGCCTGAGGTTCTGCTGAGCACATGGTAAAGCAGCTGCTTCCCAGAGAGGGGGGGGCACCACGCCGGCACGTTAGCGTGAGTCAGCTGCTTTGGGGCAGGGCTATTTTAGAAGTATGAGTACTACATCTGCTATCCCTGGCGGGGTTTCGTAATGTGTTGCCTCGGCTGCTTTTCATCCATGAACTTACTGTGCTACCGAGGTTGTAAAATACAAATTTTTATCAGTTGAAGGTAAAATGTTAGCAGAAGTGGAAGCTTCTAATAATAATTCTAAGCAAATAATATATATTTGCTCTTCTTTCTAAGTAGGTTTAAATAAGGATAAAAAGACCTTTCTTTCACGTAAGGTGCTATTTTGTGTTATTAGCTTACAAAACTTAGAAACAGAAAAATGGATCAGCTAATTCCTTTTCATAGAATCACAGAATCACCTGTTTTGGTGTAACAACTTGGCAAATGGAGTTTTCGGTGGTGGTATCCTGCAACCAGATAGCCAAGTGAAGTATTGATATTGGTTTTTTTAGTTTATAGTATAGTTATAGTATAGATATCACAAACCAACATTTTATTTTTATATGTATCTGTGAACACCTGAAGAGTCCTACAAGAATTTACAAGGGCCTGTAGTGACAGGACAAGGGGTAACAGGTTTAAATTGAAAGTGGGGAGGTTTAGATTAGATATCAGGAAGAAATTCTTCCTGGAGAGGGTGGTGAGGCACTGGAACAGGTTGCCCAGAGAAGCTGTAGATGCCTCATCCCTGGAAGTGTTCAAGGCCAGGCTGGATGAGGCTTTGAGCAACCTGGTCTAGTGGAAGGTGTCCCTGCCCATGGCAGGGGGGTTGGAAATAGATAAACTTTAAGGTCCCTTCCAACCCCAACCGTTCTGTGATTCTGTGAAAAATAAAACCCCTAGTAAGTGCAAAAGGTTTATGTAGCTTTATGTCTAAAGAAATAAACACAAATCTAAGTGTAGTTTGTAATATGATCAAGAAAAATAACACCACCACCTTTTCAATACAAACCAGTCAGGCAGCATGTAGCAAACGTACCTTCAAGTATAGCCTTTTCTTCACTGGCAACATGACACATCTCATGCATATAGCATGCATGCATTTGGCTTTGCTGTTTTATCATCTGAAACTGGCAAGAGTGTTAAGGTTTTTATAGCACTGACACTGCATAAATGATTACTTAGTGTAGACACATTTTTTTGAGTGTCTCCAGAAAGTGGGTAGGAATAGATGCTTTAGGTCTGTCAAGTTTCCTTGTAGTTTTAAAACCAGTATAAGCCAGCAATACCACCCTTATCTCCCCATATCACCTCATTCATTAATTCAGATCAGTGTTTTAACTTCTTTAAAATGTCTTGTAGCACTGTTACATTCACTGATCATCCTGTAATGTGAAGGAGGTTTGGGTGTTACTGGAAGAGACAGTACTGTGCACAAATAAAGTGTAAGAAGAGCCGCAAGTGTCTACTAAAGGGCAGGCAGAAGAGTTCATAGCTAGTCTGGATATTTGGGGATGTGATCAAAAGTCGTAATAAGTTGTATAATTTGTTTTTGCTGGAGTATGTGAGGCAGCATACGATGGAAGTTTCCTGTACCTTTTGAATTTAATTTCCGAAACTGAACAACAGTATGTGAAATTGGGGTGGTTTTTTTTGAGACCAGGAATTGTTTCTGATATTTGATTTTTAATCTTGAAATCATGTAAACCACTGAAATCCTGACATAGTGCATCAAGCTACTGGATATTAACTACTGTGCATTTACAGAAATCTTAGTTTTTATAATGAGAAAAAAATAGTTTTAAATTAACGTAGAGGTAAGAACAAGATCAAAACTATGAGAGGGAAGCATAAAGGAGCAGCAGTGGTCATTTCAAACAGATTATATGTTGTATACTATATTTTTCAATTGAAATTTGTCTTGAATCTGGAGCAAGAAGTATTTGTTGATTCGTAGTCTGTTTCTGCTTTGTCTAAGCTATTTGCCAGATGTCTGCAGTAGTTACACTAATTAAAATGGCATTGCCTAGTAGAGCTTGCTCTTCCCTCATGCTACTAACTTGAATATACTTCATTTAAAGGTGTTCATTTATTACAGTGCAGTAGTTTTGACCCCCCTCTCCCCTCCCAAGGCATTTTCTTTTTTTTTTTTTCTTGCACCCCACCCTGATTATTTTAACATTTTGGCAGCCATGTTCTAATATTTCAGCAACACATGTGCCAGGTTCTTTAAATTCACAAATGTTGCTAATCTGAAATGAGAATTTCAGGTATTTTTGCAAGCCTATTTCAGCTGAGCTAATTTTAGAATGTGGTGTTGAATGAAACATGAACATAATTTTGTATCCGTTGTGGGTGAATTGCCCATATCTTGAATATTGGGATGATCTGTGGCAGCCAGATAAAGTATCCACAGTACAGAATTCTATTAAATGTATAATCTTGTTTGTTAAATGATTAGGTATTGAAAAGGTTCACTGCAAACGAACAAGTTCAGAAATTTTGATGTAGATTTGTCATTCACACGATCTCTAATATCGAAGTATTAAACATAATACAGCCATTGTTGGTTAGGTAAGTAAATACTTTCCCTGAATTTCAGAAGTAAAAGATCAAGACCACAGAAAGGTTGCAATTCAGATTCATGTGTAGTCAGAGAAAAGAGTATATTCCCGTTCTAGAATCCTTCTTGATTTTCTTACATGCTTGTTTCTCATAGTACTCTCTGTAAATTTTAGACTATAGAATGTCATGACAAACTGGTAAAGTGACACTGAGAATTTTGAATTGCTGTTTTGTGGTAATGTCTTCCGACGTGTAACAGTACCTATGTTTAAATTTTTAAAGTATGATGCCATTAAACGTGTTGATTAATATTAAATAGCCGTACATTTTTGTTGTAACTGCTGCAAATCAGAACACCTGTCGAGATAGGCCGTGGACTCATGGAAATGTTGCAGAATGACAAGTATCTAAAAGGTTAAAAATACGATGCCTGTTGGAGGGCTTTGAGTGAGCTGGGTTGGCTGCTGCGTGCAGGGTCGCTGGGCAGGGGGCTTGCCACGGCTGTAGTACGTGTTTCGGATGCTCCTCTCGAGTAGAAGAGTTACATAATGCAGAGCTAAGACCAAGAATTTTGAGCATTGTCAGCTGTTCCTCGGGGCGTTTTGGTGTTTCCTTTTGGACAGCTGACCTGCACTCAAGAGACAATGTAAACAATCACCGTAATAAAAATCAAAGTAGCCAGGGCGATTCCATTGCATAATCTCCTTTTATTTTTAAGGAGACTTCGTTTCCTGGAAATGCCTTTGATTGCGAGTCACTGTTAAAATTTAAACTGTTGTATGTAGCTGTCACTGGTGGATAATTGCAAACAGGTGGAAGGAGAAGAGGAAAAGATTACAGCATTGTGCTCAGTAGGTTGGTGGTGAGATGTGATTCAGCTGAGCGGTTCCCTTTTCACACTTCTGGGAGAATGAGAATAGGACATAGTTCGTTCATCTGAAGGAGACCAAGACCAGAAGGAAGGGCTTTCGCTACTTAATTTTCCTGAGGGGAGCAGCCCGCGGGCAGAAGTCCTCGCTTTGTTCCTTGAGCATGCCAAAGAGCAACAGGTTAAAGCTGGCAGCCTGTTATCTTTGCGGTCTGGCTTTTAGAAATCCCCATAACGTAACGCACTTGAAATAGATGTCGTCATCAGCTCCTGCCCCAAGCACTAAGCCTGATCAAATACATGTGACAGAAGATGGTGGAGTAGGGTGCAGCAGCTATTCATGTGGTAGGAGTGGTTATTGTATTAGGGTATACTTTTTGTTGACAGGCCAGCATGTTTTGAGTTAAAATTTTGCAGCTGTCTCTCTCTTCCCCTCTCTCACTTTCTCTCTGTGGATTTGTACAAATTCCAAGCTCCTCTGCAACAGTCGCACCCTTCTTATTTTGTTCTGAATAGATTTCACTGGTTTGTTTTTGTTTTGTTTTTTCCCCAGCAGGAAACGGACAGCAGAGGCGCAGATCCATTCAAGATCTTAGTGTTGCTGGAACAGAGTCTAGTCAGGTAACATCTTTCTCATCTCTTTATCTTTCGGTAAAGTCAACACCAAAACTGTACAGGGAAACTTGGTCTGGAAATCTTCACCTTTGATGCTTTTGTAGAAATGATGCGGAGGCTTGGCAGATCGTAGTGGCATTTGTATTTAAATTAAACTCCACGAGGGTAGGTAATCTGTGGATGAGCTCTGGACGAGAAGTGCTTTATGTATAGCTCATGCAGCATTTATCACTTCTATGTACACACAGTTTTTGTGTACTGTTTAATTAGGCTGAGGGCAGCTGTTGTGTAGGAAAGTCCTTTTACCTCTCCATACGTAGAAAACAATTGTAATTACTACATATGGTCGTCTGCAGTTATACATATATTAGATTCACTTTCTGCGTGAAAATAAAGCGCACTTTGCATCAGTTTTGTAAATGTACCTATTATCAATCTCTGAACCTTGAATAGTAATTTCAAGTAGTATTTCCCCATTTCTTGTGAAAGGCTTACAGAAGGTTGCTAAGTTGTGGGTTTTTTTTTTTTTAATACTCTCTCAGTAAATTATCTTATAGCTTTTTATCTGTTATCGTAAGTGCCATGGTAACAGCCACAGTGGTATGCTACATAAAAAATTAAATTAATCTAAGAATGTGTTAAAATGAGAAATGTACAGCTAATGCTTCATTCAGATGTGTTTATTTTGTGGTTTTAATTGCTTCGTTGTCTGTTCCAGTAATTCACAAAGGCTATCTGGTCATTAGTGTGGATTGCCAAGTTTGAGATCCCTACTATTATTTAGATGGAGGAAAATGGAGCTTAGCATGTTCATCAGGTTAATCAGGTTTCCATATTAAACAACCAACTGCAATAATCTAAAATAGGTATTAATTTTTGGGGTGTGTAGTTACAAGGGAGAGCAACATGTGATCCTTCTTTAATTCTGTGGAGTGTGACAAGCCACAGAAACCTCATCAATCCCCCAGGTGTTAATTATTAGCAGAATTTACTCTGTACAACTATCAGAAATTAATAGAATGACCCTGGAATACATTTTAATATCTTCAGAGAAGGCATGTTTGGTAGAAAGAAATGAATCTGCAAAATTTATTAAAGAAATAGATTAGCTTCTTCAGTTAGTTGTACAACTAAAATTATGCAAGACATGGAAAAAAGATAAAGTAACAGTATACCAAATTGCACTGATTGATGTATGCAAATATTTTATTATAGCTTTTTGATTGTTAAGTCTTTCATTCTGTTCATTTTAATCAGTGGTTAATATTTGAAAGCATAGAATTTCGGCATTTTCTTCATATGTTAATAACTACTACCAAAACCTTTCTTTGAAAGCTGCCCTGCTGCTTGTATGGATGTTCTAGCTAAACTGACCTTGTGACCAGTGGGATACAGAAAAGTTGTTTGTTTACCTCACCAATTTCTGATGTCTGTAGCAGGGCCAGAATTTTACTTTCCTGCTTCTGATAGTGTACATACTGGAAATCTAAGTGGAAGAATTACGATTATCTGTGCCTATCTTGCATTTTTTTTGAAAGGTTATGATGAAATCTGGAAAACGTAGTATTTTAACACGTGTGAAAAATGCACTTTGGAAGACATTTTTGTACTGTCCATATAAACATATATGAATAATGAATTTTCATCCCCTTTTTGTGTCAGAAGAGATAGAAAACTCTGCTGAAAGCAATGCTAACTTTTGACATACATAAGTTTGTATATCTCTTTAAAAAATCAATTGGAAAACAACAAAAGAACGCAAGCACAGTGTAATGATGGCAGAAGACTTAAGATTACTCTTTATGGCTTTCTATAGCTCTGGACCTCACTGCCTTGTTTTTTTAATCAAAAATCTTGAACTGCAATCCATATAAGCAATCTTCTAGCCAAAGCAGAAAAAAACATCTGTGAGTAGCGTAGCTCTGGTCAGTTGATCGTATCTCCCCATATGCACCATACCATATATAGGTGACCCTTTCTGATGTGAGAATCCCCTTCCCCCTCCCTCTCTCATTGCAAACACCCTTCTTCCCCGCATTCCATTCTCTTACACCCACCCTGCGGCGCAGCCTGATTCACCGAGCTGCCATGGCACTGTGTGCCTCTGCTCCTGCACCCAACCTCTGTACGCCCCTGTCCCGCTCAGAACTGAAGGATTGCCATGGTGACCCTTTTCTCTTTTTTCTTTAACTATTCCACTGCTGCGCTAAAGCTGATCAGAAATATTTTTATTTAATGTGTTTTTCCTGAAAATTGCCCCTGTGTCAATAGAAAATTACTCTGTTAGAACTGTATTTTTTGAATCAGGAAGGTCTTTCCAATTCGGAATGGAATTTTTATTAAGGTGGGGTGGAAACACTGGGCATGATAATAACAAATATACCAAAGTTTGGAGTGCTTACCTGAAAGGGTAGTCCAAGACTTATGTCTCCCTGCTTAACTTCTGGTCTGTTTTCATCTTGACCCTCCTGTATGCTTTACATTTACTCTTTCTGTGTACCGCTAGAAGATTGTTTGTTTTTTTTTTACTGCAGTTTGTATGGTTGATGATTACTGTTTTTATTGTTTTGAGAGCCTTAAGGCATTTTCCAGTGTTGCTCTTACTGTTATCAACAGCAGACAGTAACAGTGCTTTGCAGATGATTTTACTACACAGCTGGCCCTTTTACATCAACAGTTTAGATTGGAAAATACACCAAAGGTTTTCAGTCGTTGGTTCAGTTGTTGGAAGGGCTCAGCGTTGAGAACATGTGGAAGTCCTGTTTTTCACAGATTTCCTTGGGGCTTGGTCGCCTTAGACTGGTCCTTACTCCAAGTGACATGAGCAGCACTTCTACAACCCTCTCTGTACAGTCAAATGCTACATTTCCATTTGTTTCCATTCATATACTGTTATGCTCTGTTCATTTTTTCCACATAAATGTGTTTTGCGCTGAATTGGTTCTTCTGCTTTTCCATTTCCCTCTACACGCATTTTAAAATGTTGGTTTGTGCCGCTGTCCATCACTGCTGCCCTTACCTAAACACCTTTGTAACACAGACACAGATGTGCAGACTCTGAACTGCCATAAAAGCTTCTGTGGCCTTGAAGGATTGCAGCAAGCCTGCTATGCACACTGGATAGTCTCTTGAAGAATTTGATATTTTATACAGATAGACTGAGAAATGTACTTGGCATAATCACTCAAGAACTGCAGGTTGTGATCAGGTCTGTCTGTTGCTGGGTCATGTTCGTACATCATCTTTCACTGTGCTATCCTAATATCAAAACTACCTCTTTTTAAACTTTTTTTATAACTGTTTCTGGGCCTTAGTAACTCTTACAGTTTACTTTGAAGTGGGGTGGGAGTAATATATATGCTCAGAGGGCTGGAGCACCTCTCCTATGGGCACAGGCTAAGAGAGTTGGGCTTGTTCAGCCTGGAGAAGAGAAGGCTCCGGGGAGACCTTAAAGCACCTTCCAGTACCTGAAGGGGCTACAAGGAAGCTGGGGGGGACTTTTTACAAGAGCCTGTAGTGACAGGACAAGGGCTAATGGGTTTAAGGCCATTTAAGGGTGGTGAGGCACTGGGTGAGGTTGCCCAGAGAAGCTGTGGATGCCCCATCCCTGGAAGTGTTCAAGGCCAGGCTGGATGTGGCTTTGAGCAACCTGGTCTAGTGGAAGGTGTCCCTGCCCATGGCAGGGGGGTTGGAAATAGATAAACTTTAAGGTCCCTTCCAACCCAAACCATTCTGTGATTCTGTGTACTGTATTGAACCGTTGAGAAGGAAGGTCAGAATGTAGGTGCTCACATGCATGCAGACCAAGTGTGATAATCTGTGGGATCTGATATCATACACATGAATCATTCGGTCTGTGAGATTGTGAAACTGGTCACAGATAAGCATTTTTTTTCCCTTTTCACAGGGAGATAAAGACCACAGATGAGGAGAAAGGGCCGGTAATACTGATTGCTTTAAACTGTGTTGCCCATTTAATTTAAACTTGAGGGGGGATTATTCCTCTGAGCACATCAGCTTTTCAAGAGTGCAAGTCCTTGAGAAATGGAAACTCAGAAGCTAACAGTGCCATGTGGGTTTGGCCACCTGGCAGAGATGATTTGAGAGTAACCAGTTAACAAATCTGTTGAGCATTCTGAGATACTGGAGGAAGCAAGGATGAAAGGGTACCTGTGAAAGTGTAGTAGAAACTGACTGCTGAGGACAGTCACTGGCTTTAGGCCTCCTGGACGCCTTAAACATCTTGCTGAACACATGCTTAAGCACTGTAATCTAACAGGTGATCAGTTCTGGGAACTTCCCTTGGGCTTTGCAATGCTTTTTAGGTGTTCTTCAGGTACGAATCCTTCATTTCTATCTCTAGTGCTTTTGTCTAAATAAAGTTACCACAGAAATGGTGGGTTTTCTTTGTTTTAATCCACCAACAAACAAAAAAAAAATCTGGTGCAGCAAGCAAGCCACTACAGCACAGTTTGCCAAGTTACTGTAGCTAGAGTACTTCTCAGGTGTCCTTTGCTATCAACTGTAGACACTGAACAAATCTCCATTTGCCTGAAGACGCTGTTAAAAACACTTGCTCTGTCTTCTAAGCTTTCCCATCAGTGGCATGTGTTTGTTGTTCCTGTCCGAGGATATTGACAGTAAGCGGTAGGCTAGGCAACTTAAACCTTCCTCGGTGTCAACAAAGACTCCAATACAAAAGGTTTTCAGCATACCTGATGCCATTATCCTAATAGTATCATCCCACTGGATTATTTCTGCAACAGTTTATTGCCCTGTTCCTGGCTACAAACATGAAACATTAAATGGATAATAAAAATGAAACTACTCCTGTTCATGCTGCTCCCAGCGACTCTGTCGAAGAAGGAATACAGGGCTAATGGATAAATTATTAGTCATAAATTAGAGTCATAAAAAAATACACTTACCAGGTAATGGGTATTTGGGTACTTCTTCTGAAAAATAAAGACATTTAATTAATCATTCCGTGATAAATACAACATATTGAAAATAGTTGTATTTTAACAGCATTTCCTCGTTTTATGTCATTTTTTCCTGCAAAACCTGCTGGGGTTTATAGTCTGAAGTCCTTTACTGTGTTAATTTTATGTCAGTGAGAGGGTAGATTAAATAGGGGAATATATATTGCCAAAATAATTCTGGAAAAGCAGCTTAGTACAATAATGCAGTCTGCATTATATTTTTGCGCTTTGGTAAACAAAAGGATTGGAAGAGTCAAGCTCTTCCTACAGAATTTTGTTTTACAGAATGAGAGGATGTCCTCATTTTCTAATCGCTTTGCTTTAATTGATCCTTTCTGATTAACCACTTTGTATGTTTTCTGAAGATGAGTCACGTAACCTCTGAGCTAACACAGAAACCGTAAGAAAACTGCAGGTTAATGCACTGCTGTCTGGAAAAGTTACTAAGCACTATTCCTGTAGTGGGATGTCGTTCCATGCATTGATTAAACACTGGAAACAAACTTCATTTCTTCCTGGTGTTGTGGAGCTGTTAGATTTCGCTGGATGGTGGCTTGAAAACTACTAGGTATAGTGTTGTGCTTCTTATATAAAGATCTTGAATACATTGTTCAACATGGCTTTTTATTATGCTGAATAGCCCAATTACATCTATTTCTTTTCGTAATAGGCAAGATGGGATAGAAATGGGGATGCAGTTATCCCTGTGATGCATGTAAGGTTTTTCAGACTATCAGACTATACATTCTTCACATGTATTATTCTTTTTAATACTGTTTTTTTTTGAAACGAACCCTGCGAAACACCTCCTGTTAACTTTTTTTTGTTGTCTTGTTTCCTTTTATCATTTCAGGAGAGTAGAAACAGCAGTAGATCATCTAGTCCTAGTGTGAGAATGATCACTACCTCGGGACCAACCTCTGAAAAGCCAACTCGTAATCCATGGACACCTGATGATGCAGGTAATCCTTGGTTCATTAGTTAACTTACTGCCTGTGAAATTGTAAATTGTTTATGTGATGGTGGTGTGGGGGGTGTGCCTAGATGTTAACAAAATTAAGCAGTGAAAGTCACAGCCCATTTTAGTTCTGCTAAAATCACTACATTACTGCTTTTTTTTGCACACTGGCTTTAAGGACCTTTTTATATAGATTATAGTAAGTTACATGAACTTGTAAGCATTTTGCTTGTAATAAAGTATGTAGTGGCACTACTTAATGCAGATATCAGCACCAGTTTTTGACTGTAGTGTGGTTCTGGGGAGTAGGGGAACAGACACCTTAGAGCATTTTAGTCGTGTGCATTTGTGTTAAGAATCACTGCTGACTTCTGGAATGAAGTGCTATGTAGGTGAGTATCAGCTGGAATACGTTAATTCTATTTTTTTAGCTGTGTCGTAATTTTGCTTCTGCAGAATGTACATGTGCATATAATCTTAATGTTTTTAAACAAACATAAGTGTGTCTGCAGAAGTGTTGTAAATAGTTGTAGCATCAATGTTCTTTTGTTATGATTAACAGTGAACATAATTTCATAGTAGAATTCAATTGTAAAAGTCACAATGCACTCCGTTATGAAAAGAACCAGTACTGGACTGCATATGAGAATGAATCCCCACAAATTCCTTTTAGAATATAAACAATTACATTTTTGTTACCAAAATGCACATACTTAAGATAAAACTTAGTCTCAAGCTGGTACCTCATAGTGCCTCAAATTCTGAAATCTTTTTCTTGTGATCCATTTCATCTTTGGCTGATCAGACTCATTCTTTTCCTGTAACCAGCTGCAAAATGGAAACTCACATGTGGACTTGCACAAGCATGCATATATATATATGCACACTTGTATTTTACCAAATATAAGGTGATTTTCTATGTAAGATGTGTACTTTTTTCCCCCCTGTTTTACAAGGAGGAAGGCAACACACTCTTGTATTTTTGCCTCTGTGCTTTCTTCTTTTTGTCTGTTGTCACTTTGCCTGATCACCCTCTGTACCTTCTCACTCGTGATTCCCCAAAGCCCTTGCCGCTGCCACAGCCCACCCCGTGCCCTCTGTGTAGCACGGGTCCTGAGATGCTTTAGGCAGTGAGCACTTAGGGGAATTGCTGCCTCACACGGAAGCAAGCTCTTAGCCGATTAATGGTTCATTGGCAACTGAAGTTACTGGTTGTGTGCCAGTGCAAAGGCAGTTTGTCCCACGTCTTTGGCCTTAAATTCAGCACAGCACTAGAGCTAAAAGTCAGGTCCCTTTCCTGGCTCACAGAAATCCCTCACCTTACATTCAGGTAAATACAGTAGGTACCACTTGTAACTTTTTTTTTTCTTGTCACGTTTATGCAGTCCATGAACAAGTAATTGTTTGAAATTCGAAAGAGAGAAGTAGTATTATTTTTTTTTTAAAAGAGGGTACATTTTTTTAAGTTAATGAGGCAAAAGGATAAAATGAGGATGCAGCCAAATGTGGTTAATTTCAGGAAAAGTTACAGTTCTGTGACACAGTGCTGAAAATGCTCAGGGATGTAATCTGAAGTATTTTGCATGTATTGACGTGTTTGAACATTGCAATAATTCCTTTGCTGTAGCAGTATTCCATATATGGCAATAGTAGGGAAGGACTTTTTATATTGTTCTCATAAGATACTGTGGTGATTAAGTCTCTGGTTTTAGGGTTGTTTTCTTTCTTTTTTTTTTTACCACCTTCCAGTTTCCTTACAAGCATACACTTAACCACTTTTTCTCCATTCCCACTCTCTTATTTCTGTTTCCTTTTGAAGCTGCTCTTGGAGATAGCATAGTCTTTGAGGGCAACACCTTAGTTTCTCTACCACGACTACTCTGTGGCAGGTGCTTTTGGGGTATGGGTAAGCAGCCCCTTTTTTTTCCCACCTACCCTCCTCCATATAATCCTCTAGTAGCAATAATGCAGCTATAAAAACAGTAGTTTCTCCATGTGTCTTTACTTCTATGTCTCTTAAAGCTTAACAGTAAATTTGTGATCCCCAGATTGTGGGCTACCAAAAGATAGGATCTGTAAGAGTTCAGAAACATGTTAAATCTGGAATGAAAGCACTAGAGAAATCCAGAGTAACTGCAGTGTAAGCAGAGGGCAGCCAGGCCCAGGAGATAGATTGGTTATTGGGTTGCTTGCTACCCACAAAGTATCTGTACAGAGCAAAGAAGATGCCCTAGAGCATGTTGTGAGGAAGATGCAGACCTCACTGGGAGTAGGTTTCAAAACTGAGCAGGAGGTTGTGCTTATTTTATTTTGGCAGAGCTGGTTTGCACAGCTTCTAATTTTAAAATCATTAGATGCATGGGCGGGCTGGCTGATCCTTCATAAACAAGAATGAAATGGCAATTTTTTTATAAATAGAGAATGTGATTGCAAACTGTACAAAAATAGTATTTTAAAAGTTGTATGCTGTTACATGGCTTTTAGAAGTGTAGGATGATAACCCTAATCTTTATTTCTTCGTGGTGTGATAGACCATACTTTTGAAGTTCTTAACTTTATCAGAAAAACAAAATGATCCATCTGCCTTGGGATTGGAACGCTGCTATTTCCATTTGCCTTTCCACATTCAGACTGTATTGTGAAATAATTTAGTATTCTTGGTTTTGTCCTATAAGAATAGAATTAACTCTGAAAATACATTAAAATTCTCTTGGTGTTTGTTACAGAGACCAATGGGTCAGATAACTCCATCCCAATGGCATATCTTACATTAGATCATCAGTTACAGGTAATAAACATGTGTTTTATTAGATACTTCATCTTGCATTTCTTTCTAACGTGTGAGTTTGGGGCTGCAAAATACAGTGTCGCATATTTACCTGTGTTTATATTCTGTCTAAGTTCTGACCAAGGCTAAAAAAATATATTAAGTAATCTGAGATTGGCTGACTGAGATTTGATCAAGCTATTAAAAACAAGTCTTGAGAAACACGATCCTTAAAACCAAATATAAGCTGAGCTTGACTGTCAAAATAAGACATTATTTGCTTGAGTGTTACTGAGTTAAATTGTTGTATTCACTTTATTTGTTGCGTGGGGGATTAAACACTACTTTGAGTTTTTATTCCTTGTGACAAAGAGCGTAGCAGATTAATAACTGCAGATTTGAGGTTTGAGTCAACTTTGACATCAATGCAGTAACATTTTACAGGGCATGGTTTAACGGTTATTTTTAAAACCCTACAGTTTTTTAAAAGACATTATAAATACACAGCAGAGACATTCTACCGCACTATTTACTGAGATATCATTAGTTTTTAACATGTCTGATTTATTTTCAGCCTCTAGCACCCTGCCCAAACTCCAAAGAATCTATGGCTGTGTTTGAACAGCACTGCAAAATGGCACAGGAATATATGAAAGTTCAGACAGAAATTGCATTGCTGTTGCAGAGGAAGTAAGTGAAACGTGTTGCACCTTTTCTGTTCTTCTGTATGTTTCTTTTACCCTGTCTGTTATCTGTGAAAATTATTTTTGCCCTTATGAAGTAACATTTTACAGGGCATAATTGTTTTCCAGCCTTAATCTCAGAAATACTGTGGTGCTCACCACAGGTGAGAGATTCAGAGCAGATAATTGAAAGTTTTAATTGACATCAAGACTCTTCTGAACAAGTGCTATGCTAGAAGTGTGTAGAACATTTGTGTATGTAACATGGTGATGTTTGTTTGTATCGCCTCAAGTGAAAGACCTGGATTTATGAGGAACCCTGGAATTTTATTTCACACACTGTCCAGTAAAAGATTTTAAATTATAATATGTAGATAATCATTTGGATAATGCATTCTAGAATTCTGAGTAATATCTCAGTTACTCATTTTGCAGTTAATGTACATCTTACGTAGCTGACTTTGTCAGTCACAGCATTGTCTTATTGGTCTTACTAACACACATCTTGTATTTTCCTACCAAGGACTTACAATCTAATACTTAAAAGCCATTATGTACCTTCTTATCCTTCTACATTGTAGGTCTTTCCACTTACACCATATACATGTATAAGGGAAAAAGCGGAATGTATTGTTGGATTAGGGCTAAAGTTACTGTTGATTCTGGAGCAGCTCTGCTATGGGGACAGGCTGAGAGAGGTGGGCTTGTTCAGCCTGGAGAAGAGAAGGCTCCAGGGAGACCTTATTGCACCTTCCAGTACCTGAAGGGGCTACAAGGAAGCTGGGGGGGACTTTTTACAAGGGCCTGTAGTGACAGGACAAGGGGTAACGGGTTTAAACTGAAAGTGGGGAGGGTTAGATTGGATATCAGGAAGAAGTTCACGGAGAGGGTGGTGAGGCACTGGAACAGGTTGCCCAGAGAAGCTGTGGATGCCCCATCCCTGGAAGTGTTCAAGACCAGGCTGGATGAGGCTTTGAGCAACCTGGTCTAGTGGAAGGTGTCCCTGCTGTCCCTAAGGGTCAGTAAATTATATAAAAATGTGTTTCTGTTTCAAAACTCTTAATTCTGCAGCTTTAGATTCCTACTTTAGCTTTTTTTCTATAAAGTTTCTCCCAAACTGTTTTTTGTTAGTCAGAACATTTTGGCCCATAGGTGCCAAAATTAAAAAAACAAGAGTGTTGCAACTGATTCATTTAATGCTGGTTAATGTATTTATTAGTTCAACCTTTATAGAATAATTAGGTCGCCTTTAACTGTAATTACAAACCATATGGCAACAATTAATTAAAATGAACTGTCTCCTCTACTATTTTGTTGCTAAAATATTTCTGGCAGCCTGCCTTCTTGTCACCTCATAGATAGTAAAACAAACTGCTACATCGGTTTTGCAGGGTAACTTATAGCAAGTTTATCAGTGTGTTTGTTCCTCTAAAATTGTTGTTAAAAAACATACTGAACACTTATGGCATAAATTAAGTGAAATGACAGTTACAGAAATAATTTGCTTGGTTCTGCTTTTCCACTGCCTTGAGAAGTTCAAGTCCAAATAGAAAACAGCACTTCACTAAAAAGTTACCAAAATTATTGCAATTTTGCCTTCTAAGTTGCCTTTTGAGTTTCTAAATGTACATATTGTGAAGCAAAATTAGAGTTGAATATATTTGTGGAATTCTGTGTGGATCCTTCGATGTTTTACTGTGACCTGTAGAAGGAGGTCTGAAAGCCATTATATAAGGGACAATTTTAGAGATTGAGGCTATGACTTGCAGCTGTTTTAAGGTTTAAATGTGGATTTGATTTGGAAGAGAATTTTTCTCCAGACTACAGTAAAAAGTAAGTTTCTTTTGTCAACTTTTTTTTTTTTTCTGACAAAATATCGCCAGTTCAGACAGGTAATCAAATACTGGTTTGAAGCATAACAATGTCATCTGCACACAAACAGAGGTAGATTATAAATGACAATTACTACTTTTTTTTTTTTTTCCCAGACAAGAACTAATAGCAGAACTGGACCAGGATGAAAAAGACCAGCAAAACACATCCCGTCTGGTACAAGAACATAAAAAGCTGTTAGATGAAAACAAAAGTCTTTCAACTTACTATCAGCAATGCAAAAAACAATTAGAGGTCATCAGAAATCAGCAACAGAAGCGGCCAGGCACATCATGATTTCCTGGGACCTTTCAAATGAAAAATATGCACAGAAAAGACTGATTATTATTTTTTTTTTAATTGTTATTATTATCTCTTATTATGACAACTCATGAGTGTTAGCTTCTTGGTGTGATCTGTATTTGTCTGCTACACTTAAGATCATTTAATTTTTTTTCTTATGGTGGACATCCAGTTCAACAGGTTAATCGAATAAGGTGAGAAAACTGACTTGAATTAACCAACAGCCCTCAGTGTAGAGCAAGAACAGTGGCTGTGTGCATGCTCCTTGTGTGAAGGCTAGCCTAACAAATGTTCAGGTGGTGGCTGCTGAATTGTAAGATCTTGGTTTTAGTTTTTGGTGTTACCTCGATATGAGCAAAACAACAACTTTCCTGTTTAAGAATGGTTTTGTTCCAGTGTCTCATCTCAGACTATTACTATGACAATTACTTTCGGGACTTAAACATGCACCAAGCCACAGAGGTCGTGCTGGCCAGCCGGAGTAATTCATGATGCATTAGCGATGCCTCTTACTTGTAGGCATAGTGTATTTTTTCCACATGCAAAATGGTAGGCAAACTGATGCCAGCATCCTTGGTTCAGTGCTTGATAGCCCTGCATTTTGACTAATACATTTCTTGTAATCTTGCATTCATAAAATATTTGAAGTAAAAGGCTGTATTTTCTTTACTTTCTTGGGGGGAATGGCATGCAGCTTCATGTAGTTACTGGGCACAAGTTACAAAGGTGATTTCACTGGGCAAAGTAGGTCCCTTCTATAAAAGAGGGAAAGAATCAAAAATGTGCAAAAGTGTGTTTTAAACCTATAAATCTTGTTGTCCCTGTAACATCTTCAGAAGGAAATTCAGAAAGCAAATTAATACTGAATTTTAAATGTTCCCTTCATACCATTTCTTGGATTATTTTTTCCTTCTTACCATTTATTTGCTGAAAAGCATTTGCCATAAATGTAAATAAGTTTGGTTTGGGTAGGGAGAGGAGGGTTTGGGGAAATTAATTTCTTTTTAAATAGCAAATTATGAAATGGAGTTGAGTTGCAAATAGAGGAAGCTATTAACAAAATGAGGGAAATGGCTTAGATCTCCATCAGGAATCTCAGTTATTCCACTCATTTGAACATCGTTCAAAGGAAGTCCATCACAGAATTCCTGCCTTCTTTGTGACTGAAGAATTGCACTTAATGAACTCAAGCAGAATATGTAATGATTGACGTCATTATTTACCATTATTACATGGGAGAAAATAACCACTTGTTTGCATCGTAGATTGATTATTTGTATTATGAATTAATTTTTAACTGGTGCAAAAATAAGGCACTTCTAGCTATAACAAGAAATTATTCCTTACATAAGCTCTTGGCGTACTCAGTTGTGGGCAGGGTTTTAATAATGCTCTTTTGCAAAAGGAAAGTGGAAAATTGAAGTTTAACTGCTGAGCCTTCAAAATATTAAAGAAGCGATCTTAAATTTGACTTACATTTATTTCAAATTAATAACTACTCATAAGAGACTATGAGCAGAACTGGGAAAAACATTAAGGGTGAGAACCTCACGGTATTTTCTCTTCCCCTTCCGGCCTACCTGGTAACAAACATTAGTGCTATTGGGCTGATCTGTGAACAGCAAAATAACAAACAGCTTCCTGAACAGTGTCATCCTGTCTTGAAAATAAACCTCTGGTTGGCAAACCTTTGCAATTTAGAAACCCTTCCGTCATTTTATTTAAATAAAGGAAGGGTTATCATTCCCAAAACCTTAGCAGATAATTTGATTAGTTAGCTGAAACTGATATTGGGATCAGCTTAAGGGCACACATATTTATAGCAAAATGTAATTGGCAGAGAAAATAACTGTAGTATTAGGAATAGCACAAATTATCCAGAGCATTGCTGTCCACGTACATCTGTCCGTCTACCAAAATGGACACACTTGGCGATCAGCAGCTTGCTAACATATGCCGAAGCATGAAGTAGAGCAACATAAATACTGATGCTCAACTTTGGGTGCATGTTTGATAATGACAAACACAAAATCATTTCCCAGGACAGTTTTTACCGTTTGTCTTGTCATAAAAGAGGTACGCTTCAGGTAAATCAGTATTGTGTATGAAAAGTCACTTTATGGCCAGGTTTGAATAGTGAAAGAGAATGCAATGCTAACTTAATGGTACATAATACAAAAGTCTGTTCTGACAGTTGCTTCTGACTTTTGTTTACATTGAAAAGGGTTTCATTGTAAAATAAGTACTGTGCTTCGTGCACTGTTGAACTTGGCTCCATTCAATAGTTAGGTTGTGTTACTCCTGCACCTCACAGTGGGAGTTTGGAGTTTGACCTTCTGCCTTCAAGTTGTCCCTTTCTTAACTCCACCAAAACTTTAATAGGCATTTGCCCAGATTTCTCCGTGTTCTGTGTGGTGAAATCTGTGTATCGTTTTAAAAAAAAAAAAAAATCTGTAAGGTTAGGATATAGAGGTTTGGGCTAAGAAGAGTTTAACAGCTTAACTTTCAGTGACTTTTATTATTTTTGTAAGGCTCTTGTTTTAAAGTTGTTTACAAATGTGCTTTTATTTTTCTGTTAAACTATCTGGAGCATTCAGGAAATTTTTTTCATGTATTCTCTTGTCCAATTAAAGCTGTTCCTCTAATAATGGAGGTGAAACATCTAGTTTTGCCTGGACGCTGCCTTCTCAGAAAAGGTGACAGGCTCTGCTTTTTGTTACAGTACGTATTCTGTAAGATACTGTGTAATTGAAAGTATGCTTCTGTACACTGTGCAGTTCTGCCAAAAATGCGTTTTTTAAGCTTTTTTGGAGTTTTTTCTGATGAGAAGCTGAAGATTGTAATTCAAAACTTGTACATAAAATGGTGAATGATTTCATATGATTCAGAAATGAGCGGTGTGGCTTTCTGCTACAGGGTTTTATTGCATTGTCAGGAATCTAATTAATAAAAGCTGAGAGACTTCCACAAACATGTAGTAATGCCCCAGCACTTGCCAGGGCATCCTTGATCTCCAGTGGAATCCCACACGGGGTGGGGGATAATCATCACGCAGTTGTTGCCACCGCTGAAAGAAAATTCTTCTGCTATTAGCTCTTCCCTTCCTGTGTGCAGAAGTAGGGTGTAGGGCAAATTGGCCTGCTCATAAATGAACATCAAGATATTTTAAGAATGCCACGTCTTCCGTATGTATGTTCCATGAACAGATAGGCACTCATCTTTCATTGTTAGCTTGGGCAGACTCCATTCCCTGAAACTTTGTTATTTTGTTCATCATGGATTTTACTGCATAAGAGTTTCCATTGCCGTACCACAGCAGACAATCCCATCACTGTTTCCTTGCCTGTGAAGAACACAAAAATCTTGCTTCAGATCTGCTCTGGGCTGCTTGGAACAACTCAGCCGTTTCAGGTGTCCTCCTGAAGGACCTGCAGGAAAGTTTGGAAGGTTAAGGGCAAAGGAGGTGTGGCACACTCAACCCTTCAAAATACAGATTTCTCTGTGATGAACTGGTTGGAGAGGAGGATCTTAGGAAAATGAGCCTGTGTACATGTATACACGCAGCTATGTGCTTATGTGTATAGGTGTAGAGAGCGGCATGTATCAAAGGAGAATTGATATTCTTGTATTTCCAAATCTGAGCTTTCTGTAGTTAGCCTTTATTTCCTTCAATAATGTCACTAGATGACTGGGGCTCTAAGCCTGTGAGGCTGAAGATCTACAGAGACAGGTAAGTTACAGGGGGTTGTGTGTGAGAGCGCATCAGTTCTGTGCCGGTGTAACCCTTTTCCAACTTCTTGCAGGGACAGTTCAGATCACACATGGATGGGTTTGCTACAGAGGCTTTGATCTCGAACATACATCCTGACTCTGGTCATGGGAAGGGTACTTAATGAAAGGGCAGAACTGTATTTAGACTGAACACTTTAAATTTGTAATTACTAATAAAATACTGTCTCTAAATACTTAGAGCACTGCTAATCCTAGGGCTTTAACCTGAACAAGCACTAATGGAAAAAAGGTTTTTATTCATAGCTGTGTGCGTTACACTAAGTAGCTAAAAGTTTGAGATAGAATAGGCTTGTGTTTGCCTAATTACACGTTTTGTCGATACTCCCCTCCTAACTGGGATAAAGGCAGCCCAGCTACTCTTAACGCCTGGGAACCACTGCCTTTTACGGACAGAAAGAGGAGCAGATCGTCACGTTCTAAGAAGTTAAAAGCATACCCAGCCTTGTGAAGCCAAAGGTACTGCGAGAGACACACCTGGAAGCGGAGGGAGTGGAGCCCCTGCCTCCTTGGCGTTAGACCACAGCTCTTCATGGGTGCTGGGGGAGATGGGGGGTGACACAGTGCACCCCAGGTGCAGCTCCCGAGCAGCGGGGAGACTGCAGCTGCGATTTTTGGCTTCCCTCTGACCCCTCCCTGCCCTTAAGCTGTGGGTGTTCCCTGCGTGAATACAAATCCGCTAACGCTGGCATGCAGGCTGGGAAATGCAAGGGTCTTCCTTTTTCCTGGCCACGTTTTTCCCTCCGGCTGGTGCTGAAGGGGAGAGGCTGTGGAGCAGCTGCGTGTGGGCTGCTCCTCTGGTATTCAGGCAGAGCACCGAGGAGTGACTTGCATTCATACAGCCCATGGGCTCAGCACGTGGGATGGGAGACAACTGGTAGTTTATAGCAGAAAATTAGAGAAAAAAATCCCGTGTTGTGGCGACTTGAAGACCACACAGTGAGGTGGATATGCCTAAAAGCTCTGTCTGGGTCCGTTCCTCTCCTTTTTCATGAGGAGCGGCAAGGTAGGCTTCACTTCTTGGGCCACCTTTGAGTGACGAGCAAAGCCAAGATGGCTGACCTGGTACCTCAGGCTGTGTGAAAAGAGGGGCGGCCAGAAAGCTTCTTAAGAAGGAGGAGAGCTGTTTGTCAATACAATAAGATGTAACACTACTTGGACTCCCTTCTGGAAACAGGCAAAGAGAGGGGAAAATACTGCCCCATCATCTGAAGAGGTCCGTATTTGCCAAGCCACCACTGCAGAAGTGTTCCTGTGAATGTCTTTGTTCTCCAAGGCCCCAGAGGAACCTGCCTGTGCCCATCACCAGAGGACTCCTCGAACAGCTGTCCCCAAAATGTTAAACCTGGTACGTGCGAATCAGACTCTTATTAAAGTTCCTTACATCATAATTAGCAACGTGGCTAGAGCATAGCCGGGAATTGTTCGTGAGGTAGGAGGTGAAGCTAATTTAGATCGTCCTCTGAGGGCTGCTGGGCACGAACTGCTGCTGTCAGTGAAGTGCTTGGGTAGGGCAGAGGCGGTGGGGGGAGCCGTTTTGGGGGGTGCAGCTGTGCCTTACATCAGAGCACAGAGCCGTGGCTGAAGGCTCGCAGGCCGGCAGGAGAGCCATGCTGCTGGTTTTTGTCAGGGGCCTTCAGCCGCCACGAGGCGTCCTCAAGTGCCATCACACGCCGAAGCTGTAGCAAAGTTGGAGGTTTAGGGCGATCTTTTTATGCTTGTCAGAAACACTAGGTACCAAGAAATGGCTGAGGAGGTATTTATTTTATTTGTTTAGGAGGAAAGGAACCCTGAAAACCAAGGGTGAGGGTCACTGAGCATGCTGTGCCCCACATCTCTGGGTGAGGGAAGCACCTGTAGCCTT